CACAGGCGCAGTTTAACCCATTTGTGTGGATTCACAGAGCACCACTCGAAGAACAACGCTTACAGTTAAGTAACCTCTCTTTTTCTGTTCCATCAAAATATGTGCACTATTGTTACTAGTTTTGGAACAAGAAGTTTGAAGTTGCTGTAAAGATTCTGACACATTCCAATTCTGACAAGTGTAGTTTCTGATTCAGAAAAGATGAAACTGAATTCCTGACTAACAGTTTGCTGAGAAGCAAGGAGGGAAGTGATGATACAAAAACAGCAAATGAGCATAAGGATTATGCACACAAAATTGTCAAGATAATTGTTGGAATGCTCACTGTTTGATCTCTTCCTGTTTACCTGGATGCATGAAACATTGGGACTCTGATATATATTTTTTCTGAACTGCACACAAGCTCTTGGTGCAGAGTCTGAGGAAGATGAATTAGCATCAAAAGCTAACTCTACTTGATTTTTTTTTAGTGACCCAATAAAAGATACTGTATTGTCTGCTCCTGTATTTATACTGTTTTCTCTTTAATTTTCCCTGCCGACCTCAGTGCCACTTCCATATTGTTCAACGGAAATGGGGCATCATCCAGAACTGTGTAAATACTGGCACTTCAGGCTACAGGGGAGAATGGGAAAATGTAAAAAACAGCTAGTTTGCACACATTGTTCTTTGACAAAACTAACAGGTTGGATTTAGAATCAGGGAAAAGTGAAGTTGGAAGGGGCCTATAAGGCTATCAAGTCCAATCCCCTGCTCAAAGCAGGAATACAGTCTAAAGTATATCTGCCAGGTGATTATTCAAGGTTTTTTGATGCCTCCAATGTTGGAGCATTCACCGTTTTGTCACATATCACACTGATATGTATAATTCAATTGTTCAAAAAGCCTCCAGTTTATGAATGTGGGATATTGTGCTTCTGTACCCATGATTCAAAAGGAAAGGAAGTGGCCCAATATTGGTGCACAATATCTTGCCAGCAGGAAAAAGGATGTCAAGCTTAACATAGCAAAGGGCATCCTGAATGTTGACCACATCAATGGCAGCAAGCAGTTGGTCTACAAAATACCCTCTTCTCCTCACTACCGTTCACATTTGTTGAAAAACACCCCTGATAATTATTTTGTCAACTGGTTAACTGATGAAAAACAAGTCAGATTCTGGGATTTCCCCTTGTGTGGTGCCACTTTGTAGATGGTAGTGGTGCTGGGGGACTCTTGTTCAACACCTTGACCATTAACCTCTGGAGTGTCTCAGGGTTCCCTGATACTATTTCACATATATATGAAAAAACTGAAAAAGGCTGTCCATAATTTGGTGTTTTGGTATGATGACACCCAAATGATGACATTTCCATTTGTTTTTTAAGATCTTCCAGGAGGCCAGTCTCTAAGGCCCCACTATGTGATCATTTAGCCAGCACTGCCATTGTGCCCACCCCTCCCACCCCCATTTCACAGTAAAAACTACAAGGGATAAAGTATGTCATTTAAGTGTAATTTTTTCTTTCAGGCGTCATTTAATCTAGACTTAGCCTTTTTTAGAAATTGGAAGAGACCAGCCAGTCACTTCCTGTTTCTGACTAATTATAGTTCATGTGTTGCATTTAAATGGCAAATGATTCTCCCAAGGTTTGTAGGAGAAGTGAAAAAGTGAGAGGCTCTGATACAGCCTGCTAAACGTTTAGTGGTGGGAACCAAGTTCTTCATAGGTAGTCTTTTACAAAACCTATTCAAGGAATCAGAAATTCTGTTCCTTAAGAATACGCATAAGCAAGATACTATTCATCTTTCTTTGGCTTATCCATCTATGATCATATGACTTGAAAAATCTTTAGCTGTGCCATATGTCAAGAATTTATGAGATTCTGTTTAGTGATCTGACAGCTGTGGTAGTGGGTGTGTACTATTTCTTAAAAGTGCTCATTTGCTATCTTGTGAGTGCACTGATATTTACAACACAGGACTCTTTCTGACATGACTAGAAGGTGAATAACATTGCCTTGTAGGTGGAAAACATTTTCCCAACCTTCTGCACTAACCTCATCAAAAGTAGTGGTGATTGTTCAGTCTTCTGAATTGAGAACTCATTTATTCAAAACCAAGGAAAACGTTTCTCCTTGATTTGATGTTCATTCAAGACCGTTTGTAACACTGAATATTCAAACTAATGAAACAGAAAACACATAATGACTATAAGATTTATTTTTACAAGTAGAATTTCAGCTGTCGTAAGGGAGTAAGGTAGATTCAAGGGTGAAATTGGCAGGGGTGGTGGGAGTCTTGGTGATCAAATAGTGGGGCCTGAGAGATTGAGAGAAAGGCCTCCTTGAATATCTTATAAAGCAGATGGAGTACCAGAACCAGCAAATTCTGGACAGTCTCTTAGGGGTTTATGTGTAATAGTATGAGGAATCATGGAACCGTGAGACACTCCACAGGCGAATGGTCAAGGTGCTGAACAGGAGCCCACCACCATTCACAAAGTGACACCACACGGGAAAATCCCAGAATCTGACTTGTTTTTCATCAATTAACCAGTTCCCATCCAGGCACAAAGTAATTCAGAGGGCTGTTTTTTTGACAAATGTGAATGGTAATGAGCAGAAGAGGGTATTTTGTAGACCAGCATGCCTGCCGCCATTGGTGTGGTCATGGATACAGAAGCACAATATCCCACATTCATAAATTGGAGGGTTGTAGTCCCTGTGTGCCAAAATATTTTGAAGTGCTGTTTTGGACTTAATGAAATGGTGAAGCAAAGATGTGAGTAGGTACAACACATACAATGGAAAAACATACACCTCTCATTTAAGCTAATATTGCCATGCCCATTTTGCCAAATGCAGACTCGAAAGCTATGTCCAATTTCATATCCTTTTCTTTGACAAGCTGAGGAAGAAAAGCTGTAATGGACCAAAATCTCTATGGATATGTGGTGTGCATGTTTTCCAACAGTTGTCCCTTTACCTTTTGAAATAAAAAAGGGAAGAGGTCGGAGTTATCAAAGAATGTCACTGGAAACCAAGGACAAAATCATCCATACCATGTGAAAGGAAGATAATGAAGAAAAAGGAAGATAATGAAGAAACACAGGGGCAAAAATAAATTCATTTGAAATGTGGTGTTTGTACAGATACAAGACAGCCAGAAAAGCAGAAAAGAGAATGCTCGGTCAAGTCAAACCTGAACTGTCACTCGAGCAAAAACAAGTAACCTGAGCCTATCCTACCATGTAGGTAGGATATTTCCAATATAATGGAAATACAGAATTCACCAGAATAGACTATATTGCTTGGAAAAGTCCAATGGAACAGAAGGAAAAGAGGAAGATCTGGCATGAGATGGGTTGACTCAGTAAAGGAAGCCGTAGGTGTTAGTTTCCAATACCTGAGCAGAACTTAATGGAAAAGGCAATATTACTAGGAAGGGATGAGAACAGCAGGAGGAGAGAAAAATCTAATATGAGATGCTGTTGGTTTACAAGATCTGATCAGAGCTCTTAATGATCGAACATTTTGGAAGCCAGTAACTCATATAGTGTGAGAAAGGTGGGGTGGGTGGGTGGTTTTTTCTCCCTTCTATCTCCCTAACCTTCCTGATCTCCCCTCATGCTTCAGCTGTCTTTGGCTCCTGTTGCTGCTGTCTCCTTACTTGCAAATAAAATTTGCTTTGAGATCATCACAGGTCACAAAGCAAAAAAAAGTGGGGATAATTTATTTAATTATTTATTTAAAATATTTTTAACCCACTTTTTCCCTTAAAAACACCCAAGGTGGCTTACAACAATTAAAAGTTGGTCTTTAAGATTAACAATGAGCATATACAGTGGGGTCTTGACTTGAGAACTTAATCTGTATTGGAAGACGGTTCTCAAGTCAAAAAGTCTGTAAATCAAGTCTCCATTGACCTACAGTGCATTGAAAACCAATTAATCCCGTAACAGGCCGTTTTTGTTCCATTTTGGTTTTTTTCTGGTCTGTAAGTCAAATCTCAGTCTGCAAGTCAAACCTAAATTTTGCGGCCAGAAAAGTCTGTAAGTCAAGCCGTCTGTAAGTCAAGGGTCCACTGAAAAGGATCAATGAATACAATACCAAAAATCATAAACAGCTAGGAAAATGGGGTCAATCTAGTCTCCTGTGGGAGAGGTGTCCAGAATCTGGGGGAGGCAGTAGAGCGACCTGCAGTGTAGCAAATCTGAGGACACTGTTCAATACTCAGCTACTACTCCTGATATGGTAGATCAACTGAATCAGATTTTGAATGGATCAAACAAACTTTATAAAAATCCTAAATTGGAATCAATTTAAAATGGCTTTCAAGGTAAGTGAAATATTTTTAAAATGGCTTTACCAGTTCCACCCCTCCAGTGAATTTCCATGGCTGAGCAGGGATGCAAACCCAGGCCTCTTGAGTCTGTTCTGCCCACTACATCACACGGGGCATCCAAAGAGGATATATTTCTGAGTAAAAAGCCTGTTAACTATGGTGAAACGGGAATTCTGAGAGTTTTAGGTCAAATAAGCAATTTCCCCATACCACCCCATAATGGGAGATTCTCCTTTCACCACTTTCACACTGAAGGCCATGGCAGGATTAAAAGTGACACATCTGCTGTGTGGGGAGACTGGATTCTGGTTGGCTGGGCTGCTGTACTATGCAAGTATCAGAATTCTGAGAAATTATGTTAATGTATGAAGCTTTAACAGTTTTTTTTAAAAATAACAACACCAAAGCCTTTTGCCTAAATGTCCCCAAATTTAGCACAGAGCAAGAGATGTTCTGCTATATCTGTGACAGAGTTGTTGCTGATCCAAAGTTCAGTTCAATAGTTATAATTTTTTGTTTGGGACAGTTTCTTGTTTTTGATTTGTTTTATAGAATGTTGAATACTGCTAATGCATGATATATTGGTGCCTTGCCATGTTCATTAAAACTTGCCTAAAGTAACAAGGCTGAGACAGAACAAAATTTTTATTTATTATTCTTTTTAATGTTAAAAGGCACAAAAATAGTGAATGGTGCTTCAGATTCTCAAGATACAAGCCAGTCACAACAGAATGGAGACAGTGCAGAAGAAAAAAGAGAGAAACTTGATTCTGCTAGTAAGAAAAAGTAAGTGATATTTTCCATTTATTAAAAAATGATAATTTATTTTGTTTCAATAAGCATTAAGCAATTTATAGCTCTAATTAGAGATGGGTATTAATTAAAAAATTGCAAAATTAATCAAAAATTGCTAATTTGTCAATTTGTATTCATCCAAATGATGCCCCCAACAAATATGTATCAACAAATTTTTAGTGATTTTTGATGTGTCTTATTTGTTGGGCTATAAAATGGCCATCCAGGCACTTAGAGACCAAAATTGCAGGGATACTTCTGACTCTACAATCATGTTTGGTGAAAATTGGGTGTTGGATGTCTGAGTTGCACACTCACAAAGAGGGCTTCCTCAAGAAAAGTTCCCCCAGGCACCTAGAGATAAGATTGCATAGAAGCTTCCACTGACTCTCCTCTACAGTCCCTCCAAGTTTGGTGAAAATTGGGTTTTCCCAAGTCAGCTGCTAAAGGGCAATTTCCTGGGGGTGAACTAATTTGTGGGTGCATAAACATGGATGTCTGAAACCCAACCTTCAGTAAACTTGGAGGGATTGTAGAGAAGAGTCAGGGGAAGTTTCTCTGCATTTTGGTGTTTCTAGGTGCCTGGGGAGCATTCCTGAGTTTGTGGATGTATTACTTGGACATCTGAATCCCAAATTTAGTCGTGTCCATGTAAAGTGCCTCTTTGCCTCTACTGCACAACTGTGGCCCTGCTCTCCTCAGTCCTTTTTTGTCTGCTACTGTGACAGCACGTGAAGGATTGCTCTGGAGCCTCCTCCTCACCATTGTCTTTGGATAAGTTTCCTGCCTTTTTCTCCTTCTTTTCACCCAAAGTTATATAAATAGAGTTAGAAGAAGGTCCCCCTCTGGAAACTTTGCCACTCCCTTTCCCCCAATGATTTGTGACCTCTGCTTTAATGAAGAAGTGTGCCGCTTGGGGCAAAAAGATCCCACAATCTGACGGACATGACATTTGCCTATTTTGTCTGGGAGAAACCCACTTATTTCAGTCCTGTAGAATTTGTAAAAGTTTCACTGCTGTTACACTTAAGAATCGTCAGTCTCAGCTTAGATCTTTGGGAACAATCCTTTCAAGCTACGGATCCCCCAACTAAGGCAAACCCAAGCCCTCATATGGACCAGGCAACTTTACCAAAGAAACTCCTGGAATCTGAGCCCACTGCCTTGTCTTCTTCAAAACTGCTATCGAAGTCAACGAAGAAATCAGTTGAAAATGACAGGCAGCCTCCAATGTTGAGGAGAACAAAAAGAAGAAAGAAATGACAACCCATGTCATTGTAACTGCCTCAAATCCTCAGCTACCTATCAAGAGAGCCCATTGCTGCTTCTGTTGCCAACACGGAACACATGGTCTTGGTCTCAGAGGGTGAATGAGTCCTTCCGTGCAGAGTGTTCCTGCCTCACAGAGAGCACCCTCTCTTCTACAGGAGCAATCCTTGCCTCCACCATCTGAAGAAGGGATCTAATGTATACTGGACAACACCAGCAATCATTATGTCAGACTGCACAGGGAAGCCATTGAAATCCACAAGCACCAGCAGTTTCAACAAAAAAGAGGAAAGTATGAAGCTCAACAAAACTTGGCTCCCAGCTCTCAAAAATACAACGTGCAAAAGGTCAATGAACTCTATCCAGCCACAAAGACGGGATCACTACACACAAAAGACCAGCTAATGACACCCATCAACCACAGGAACTGCTAATCATTTCTCCTTAGCACAACAATACACCCACAACAATACACACTAATCACCCATCTACAGAAAAAGACAAAAGCCTATCTCACAGCCATAAATACTGCACTCCCAAGCCAACTACACCAGAGCACAGGTTGCTGTCCTCTGAAGTTGCCGGCCACAGAGACTGGCGAAACGTTAGGAAGAACAACCTTCAGAACACAGCCAAAGAGCCCGAAGAAACCAGAACAACCATTAGATCCTGGCTGTGAAAACCTTCGTGAATATAGAAAAACCTTAGTTTCATCATTTTTCCTCAGGGATAGTGATAGTGCCTCAGTATTCAGGTTTTATTGCAGTGTTGGCACTTTGAAATAAATAAATTGGTTTTGTGTTGCAGTTTCGGCAGTCAGACTCAAAAAGGTTCGCCATCACTTACCTAGGAGATTGGCAACCACCTCTTCAAATCTACTTATTCCCTCATCATAACCTGCAACCCATGTTCTCACTGTTACAGAGTGAGGTACTATGAGGCACATGGAGAGAGATTGCATCTGGGTTTTCTGCATCTTGCACTATAACCCAGGGGTATCTCTGACTTAATCCCATCTGTTGCAAATAGGATTTATTCATAAGCAATGTGGGAGTATTGTTTGCTCATACAGTGCTTTCCAGTATATGATGCAGCAGGAGCAGTATACTAAACAGTAAAATAGATGTTAGAAATATACTGTTTTTTTCCCATTTAGGATGTCTGGTGATGGAAGAGAACAAGAGAAAACGAAGGGTTCCACCTCTGAAAATGAATGAATGGACCCCAAATTTTTGTAAAGGTCATTTAAGAATGATGATAAGTGTTTGCATTTGAGAGCTAGATTCCAGAAACTTTTAAATAATTTTATAAGCATAGTATTTTAATGTGTACAATTTCATTGGGATTGTGAAGAATCTCCCTTTAATCTTCATTTTTAAAGTATTTAAACCTCCTGATTGTATTTGGCAGAGTATTAACAAGCAATATTATGTTCTGATGTAAAGACCAAGTTATTTTAGAGACTGAAATGTCTTTCTGTGTTTCAAGGTTAGTAATGTAGTATGTTAACTGACTACAGTATGCTCAGCTTTTGGCTAATGACAGAAAAACTAACTTTTCCTTTAAAATTGCCAAACTGCTTTCTTTGTATAAATTTGTTTTCTTTCTATTGTTTGTGCATAGTTTTCAAAACTGTTATTTGCCAAACTGTTCATTTGTGCTTTGTGAGAAACTAGGAGCATTTTGTAGCTATGTTATGTATGAGTACCTTCAGTCAGTCCTTTTTCAGAAGTTAGTTTTGTTCCTGGAAACTAATTGTGGCTGTTTATTATGTTCTAACTTTCCTGTGGTATGCTTTTGGTATTATTATCAAAATAAGGAAACTCATGTTTCCATTAAAATTATTGATGCACATTGGTCGCAAAACACTGTCTTGAAAGAATTTGGGTTTTTTTCAAAATAAAAATTTATGCAAAAAGAAATTGATTTCTATATTTTGGCCAGAAATCTCCCAATTAGTAGGGCATCAAAGAGCTTATTTCCTTCGTGACAGAAGCTTACTCTGCCCCTCACCTTACTCCAAAGAAAAAAAGCCTCAGAACTCACTAGTTGCCAGGTTACTATGCTGCAATAATACACTGAGAGAATAGGGGGTGGGTAGCCTACAGTACTTCATTTTAGCTTCATCACTACGGATTTGAAGTTTGGTGTCTCTGGTCCTAGACATACAATGTACACTGTACATAATTTACTCTTACTTACATGTGGCAAGATAACCTGAAAGCGGCTGATATTCTGGGTAGCTTGGGTAGATGGAGTCATACTACTTAAGATCTCTATACAGTGGTGCCTTGCTCGGCGGTTCCAAAATGGCCGCCGGAAAAAAACATGGCCGCCCGCTGTGTTTTGGGATGGATTCCTCGCATACCGGGCAGCAAAAATGTCCGCCGTATGGAGGATTTTCGTTTAAAGGTAAGTTTTTTGCCCATAGGAACGCATTGAAGGGGTTTCAATGCAATCCTATGGGCTTTTAAAAATTGCGGCGATTTTTGCTGCACCGATTAACATTGCTAAGCGAGGCACCACTGTATTGCTGCATTCGCACCTATTTTCTACTTAGTGCAGAATTTCAAAGTGAAATTGCCCTTTGTGCCTTGGGGCCAAATATTTGAACACTCACCCCGTGTTGGTTGCTTTTGCATTTACAGTCATGAGAGGAGACCTATCTATGCCTTCCAAAATGTGGTGCACTTGTCAGAAGCCTGGAGCTTCATATTACTTTCTGACAGAAGGTTTGCCTTGTGTCAAGATGTATTTGATTTATTATATATCTTATTTTATAGTAAAGTACAGAATGTGTACTCTAAAGAAGTATGGTATATCATATTATCTAATTTTTAGTACCAGGTTAAAAAAAAATTCTGTGCTCAGACATTTTAAAATATTTTTACATATTTAGATTTGAATTTATGTTTGTTAATGCTCATTGACAGCTTTCAGCTTCTTGCTTTACTGTTTGTTTTAAGTTTATTTTACAGTGGTGCCCTGCATGATGACGACCCCACAGAACGACGAAACCGCAGGACTATGCCTTTTTGCGATCGCTATAGTGATTCACAAAAAAGGCATTTCAATGGGGGAATTCCACTTGACAACAACTTGGTCCATGTTTCGTGGACCATTTAATCACAAAACAACCATCTTTACAGCTGATCGTCGGCTTCACAAAATGGCCTCCCACTGTTTTCCGGACCCCTGCTTCGAAAGACAGCGATTAAAAACAGCTAATTGGGGCTCGCAAAATGGCTGCCCTATGGAGGATCTTCGTTGGACGATGAGGTAATTTCCCCATTAACCGGTTTTCAGTGCATTCCAATGGGGAAACTGTTTTCGCATGACGACGAATTCGCTCTACAGTGATTTTAACAACGGATTATCGTTGTCATGCAGGGCACCACTGTATTGTGCTAAAGTTCTGCCTAAAATATTATTGGGGTTTATTCTCAATTACGTAGTCTGAGTCCCACAGAAAGCAAAAAAAAAAAAAAAAAAAAACCTTCAATTCCTAGCCCTTACAAGTGGCCAACATGTGTCCCTGCAAAAGCTGGATTGTAGTTCCTGCTGTTATTTATTACTGGGTATACTTGTGGGCATTTAAATTCACCAACACCCTTCTTCACAAGTTTCCTGCTAAGCTGGGTGTGCACTCATGTGTCCCTCCACTCAGCTGTCTTCCTCCTTTGCACAGTGATCGCGTTAGGTTCCGGTTGCGACAACCCAGTGCATGGGGGACAGAGTTGTGCACGGGAGAGACAGAGCCCAGCTCAGCAGTGCTGAAAATTAGAGGGTGTGTTGCTCACAAAGCATGTCCAACATATTAGTTGGCACTGGAGAACAGAAACTTCTGTAGACATGTATAGCACTAAGATTCCATCCTTGTACCTAAAGCAGTAGTTCTCAAATTTTTCATGTGGTTTGGACTGGAACGCCAGAACCCCTCTCTGCTGGCCATGATGACTAGCAATTCTTGGACATACAGACCAAGATACAGTGATGCCTCGCATAGCGAGGTTAATCTGTTCCGGATTAACCTTCGCTCTAGCGAAACATCGCTAAACGGAATTAAAAAAGCCATAGAAACGCATTGAACTTCGTTCAGTGCATTCCTATGGCTTTAAAACTCACCGTTAAGCGATGTTCCTCCATAGCGCCGCCATTTTCGTGCCCTCGGTAAGCAAGGGCAGGGCGCGAAAATGCGGCGCGGCCCTTCCGGCGGCCATTTTGGAACCGCCGATCAGCTGTTCTCCCCCGCTTCGTTATGCGACATTCGCTAAGCGAGTCGCTTAGCGAATATCGCAAAGTGAAAAAATGCCATAGGGGCGATCGCTGAGCGAATGCTCCGGCGATGGCCCAGAGCCCCTCGTTAAGCGATTTCATCGCTCAGCGAGGCGCTCGTTAAGCGAGGCACCACTGTATCTAAATAGCTAAAGGTTGAGAAGCACTAACCTAGAGGGTGCTTCCATCTTCATGAAGAATATACATGACTTGGTTGCTTGTGAACTACTACTTGCCTTTTGGTGAACTTGAATCCAACAGAGACAGCATAGGAAGGCAGTTCCCAGCTGCTAAGATCCTTTGGACTCACAGGAACTTAACAGGGGTTCTATCCCACTCTGCTGCCAAATTCACTGTCATGGCAGCAGCAAAACTTCCACAATGAGGGAGATATACCTTTTTAAACAGAATTATGCTTACTTGAACCCCAGATAACCACAGATGTGTAAAAGCAAGCAGTGCAGCTTCCATGTGCTTCTCTCACATGTAAAAAAGTGGAACTTGCCATTGCTGCAGCAGATTCATTGGTGGAAGCAAGAGGGGACAAGTACAGTATACAAAAAAGTGGTGGAGAGGGGAGTTGCAGCAATACATAGGTCACACATTGAACATTTGAGTGCTAAAAGCAGTTTGGGTTCAGTTGAAACCCAAATACTTTAGCTGGAAATGTTGAATAAACATAACTCAACTTTATATATTAAGTTTAGGTTTTACACAAAACATTTCAATTCTGCACAAGTACCTTGTTTTATTTTGGAATGCAGGACATCTCGTTAGCATTACAAACAGCCACAGCTGTCATACATATATAGGCAAAAGTAAAGTTGACTGCTCTTAGTAACAAAACCGGTGTGGGGAAAATATAGTATGGGGGGGATCTTGTTTATTTTTCCTGTTCTATAGGCTGTGGCTTTGTAGTCATTTAAACACTAACAACATTAAACAAGCAGCCAAAACAAATACCTAGCTGGTATGAGAGAAATCTAATTAGTATTTGACAGCTGGGTCCAATATGGAGTTGGGTTCAGAGGAGTCACTCAAAACAAAATACTAAACAAAAAACAGACCCAGCTGTCCTGCCACAGCTCCTGGGACACATGGAATTAAAGATGTAATTCATTGCTTATTGTGTAAACTCAATATAACACTGAAGGTCACAGCATTTGAGAGGCAACAGGGCCAGCATAAAATGCCATTTCAGAAAGGTGAAAAAGACTTGCCCTTCTTTTAGCATTGGAAACAGGTCTTTGTGATTCTGCTGTAATTCTAATGCCATGATTTCAAAGATGGAGAACAAACTTGCCTGAAGAAAGCTTAATATCCATTTCCCCCTTTTATTTCAAGCTGTTTTTTAATGTGTAACTAAATCAAAGAGGTTTTAATAAGCTCAGCACTCTATTATTTGAGTTGGCAACCTTAACTTTCAACGATATTTCTTCTGTTCTTTTGCACAGGCTTTTCTTAGGCATTAAAGTATGTTTTGAGTCCTTTTAATATCCTTGCTCATAGGTTGCTGAGATACTCACTGGGATGGCATTGAACATAATATGGTTTTCTTTTTTAATGGCTTTGCATTTTTTTCAGTTAACTTTGAAGATTTTTCATACATCGTTGTTTCACTGATCAATACCCTACATTATTGAACTTCAATGCACGATTTACGGTTAACTTACAGGAAATGGTTTTCGAGCTAATAGATCCACCACCGACATGATATTTTCCCTCAGACAGTTGCAGGAGAAATGCAGGGAACAACAACAGCCACTCTTTGTGGCCTTCATAGATCTTACAAAGGCCTTTGACTTGATTAGCAGGGATGGACTTTTTAAAATACTTCCCAAGATTGGATCTCCACCTCAACTCCTTAATATCATCAGGTCCTTTCATGAGGAAATGAAGGGCACTGTAGTTTTTGATGGCTCAACATCAGATCCCTTTGACATCCGAAGCGGAGTAAAACAAGGCTGTGTCCTTGCGCCGACCCTGTTTGGGATCTTCTTTGCTGTCATGCTGAAGCAGGCCTTTGGAACTGCAACAGAAGGTGTCTATCTGCGGACTAGATCAGATGGAAAGCTCTTTAATCTCACTAGATTGAGAGCGAAGACCAAAGTCCAACTGAAATGCATGCGGGACTTCCTCTTTGCTGATGATGCAGCCATTGTTGCCCACTCTGCTGAAGACCTCCAACAACTCATAAATCATTTTAGCAAGGCCTGCCAAGACTTTGGACTAACTATCAGCCTGAAGAAAACACAAGTCATGTGCCAGGGCGTGGACTCGCCTCCCTCTATTTCTATCTCCATGCAAGAACTGGAGGTACATGCTTTCGAACTGCTAGGTTGGCAGGAGCTGGGACAAGCGTTGGGAGCGCACTCCGTCCCATCCCGTGGATTTGATCTTTTGATTGCTGGTCTTCTGACCTTGCAGCACAGAGGCTTCTACGATTTAACCCGCAGCGCCACCACATCCCTTGTGCACATACACTAGCTTCACTCTAATTGTGCAGGTGAACTGTGTATTCTGGTTTTAAAATCCCTGACATTCATCACTTATGTTCGATGATCATTACTACTAATATGCATGCTCACATATTTGTTTTCCTTAAAGTTGCCTCAAGGAATACA